AAGCACCCCATCCTTAACACCAGGGCTGCAGCCTGGAGGGGGGCCCATCCCTCTCCCCACACCAGCGTTCCAACAGAGCTTACAGCCCATTGAACAAGCAACCAGAGAGCCCTGAGCTCTACCCCACACTGTGGGGACAGATCCAGTGTCCCCACAGAACTCCAGTAAAGCCACCAAGGGGTCACCCAGCCCCATGCAATCCCCAGAGCTCACCCAATAATGCCAGCTCAGCCAACCTGGCACCCTCCCTGCCCTGCACTCCTTCCCAGCCCCACAGTGCTCTACCTACCTGCCCACAGCTCCAGGGAACATCAGAGGGGCTCTGTGCCAGAGTAGGTTCAGCTGAGTCAAGCTTATATCCTCAGCAGAGCCCTCCCACCCTGAGGCTCCTCCAGGATGCTCACAACCACCATCACAGCATGACTGGCTGCACCTGAATGGGGTTGCTCCAGCTGCAAGTGGGATTTCCGAGACTGCCAGACCTTTGTGTTGTGTATCGTGATACCATGAGTGTGCTGGGAGCCCCAGTGGGATGCCCTGTCCTGCCCAGTGCCCCAAAGCTGGCCCTGTGCCTCCAGATCCTGTGCAGGCAGCAGTGCCTGTTTTGGGACACTTCCACCACCGTTGCACTTGCCCAACCGGGCAGCACAAATCTGCCCTCCATCAAAGCACATCCCCCATCAGCACATCCCACCCGTGTGACACATTAGGAAAACATTCCCAGTAAATAGAGAAAACACAGAGAGCACAGCTGGGATTTTTAGGATATTCCAGCCCAGCTTCTCTCCAGTAGAATCAATTCCCCCAGGGAGGGAGAGAAATAAACAAGCCAGTCTCCTGGGAGCCCTTCCAGTCCTGTTTGCTATGATCTACAATTTTCACCGACCATCCTTCATCAGATTTGCATGCAAGCATTTGCAGAGAGATAACGGGCGCTCTCCCTCCCGCATAACAGCCAAGCCTTTGTCTGCTCCCGAGGGATGTGACGCCACGTCCATAAGCAAAGTGAGGAAATGGGGTGGCTGCATTCAGCCCGGTGCAATCAAACCATCAGGCTCTAAATAATAAATAATCAGATGAGGAACAGGAATGCTGCCTGTGCCCGTCGCTCTCCCCACCTTCTCGGGAAGCGCTGGGCAAACACCAAGGAGGGAAACTGAGGTTGGATGTGTGAGGATTGTGGGCTGGTGGAGGGGAAGGAGCCCCGGTGATGGATTCCTGATATCTGTTTGCAACTCACCTGAGAGGCTTTTACGTGTGAAAAAGTGTTTCTTTCACAAAATGACCCAGGCAGTCCCTCTCTCCTGGCTGTGGGCTTGCACTGCCCCCCTCCCTGGCTGAGCTCCATCCCCAGCCAGGGCAGTGCCCAGCCAGAGGACCTTGCACCCACTTACCGGGGATCTTCTTACCCCCCTGGCTGTCCTAATGTGACCTCCCATGCTGCTGGGGCCTTCACTCACAGGGACAAGGACAGATGCACTTGCTGAAGGAGAACTGCTGAGGGTGCCAACCCTGCTCCAGTCCATGGCACGCCTGGCTGAGCTCCATCCCCAGCCAGGGCAGTGCCCAGCCAGAGGACCTTGCACCCACTTACCGGGGATCTTCTTACCCCCCTGGCTGTCCTAATGTGACCTCCCATGCTGCTGGGGCCTTCACTCACAGGGACAAGGACAGATGCACTTGCTGAAGGAGAACTGCTGAGGGTGCCAACCCTGCTCCAGTCCATGGCACGGCCACATGGTTTGTGTATTTTGTTACTGTTATCAATATCACTACTATTTTAATATTAGTATTATTTAAAGTTTTCTTTTATTTCCATTATTAAACTGTTCTTATCTCACACTACGAGTCTCCTTACCCTGCCCTCCAGTCCTCTCCCCTATACCCTGGGGATGGGGGGGGCAGTGGGTGAATGGCTGGGTTGGCTACTGGCCAAGGGCTAACCCTGTGAAACTATCACATGTATTGGGGGGAAGGAGCTGGGGAAGCTCTTAGGTGATTTGGGGAGCAGACTGTGCAGAGGCAAGCAGGACAAACCAGATGGGATCAGATTTAGGCTGGAAATCTGCAAGGGGTTATCACAGGCAATGAGGCAAACAGGACCCTCCAACCCCAGAGGGCTGGGGGGGTGCTTTGCAAAGCCACAGGCACATCGTGAGCCATTTGGCCATTGCTGCTTTGGATGGAAAGCAATCCTGCCTTAACTGTGGTGAGGTGATGCCCCCTCATCCTGGTCACCAAGCCAGGAGGATGGTTGGGGCTCCAAACTCCGGTGTTACCTCTGTCCCCATGATGGGCCCTTTGCCCCACACTGCCAGCATGGATTTAATTGGGGTCCTCACGCTCAGTGGCATTGGGTATCTGAGAGGATGGAGGATTCCTGACCAGGGCTGGTGGTGACAGCTCCAGGTTTTTTGCAGAAGCAGCTTCCCAGGGTGTTACATTTGGGTTGGAAAGGGAGGGCACTGTGTATCAGGGCAGAGGGCAGAGGTGGTTTAACAGGTGATGTCAGTGAGCAAGTAAAGAGTGGATGCCAAAACCTAATGGAGAAAACAAGATGCTGAGACACGCCGGAGCAGGACTGGAGGCTGAGGAGGGCTGGTGCTTGGCAACCACAGGAGGATTTCCTCACTTAGTGGGGGATGACCAGCTCCAGTGGCTCACTGCCAGCAGATGCAGCTGTGAATGCCTTCAGGAATAAGCTGGGAAAGGGCTTTTCTAAGTCTTCAAGTCACGTTAACTGCCCTGGCTATGAGCCCCTGGATAACACCCTGTGGGGCTGGGGGTGCTGGGGAGCCCCTTGGCTCAGGGGAGAGGAGCTGCTCCCACAGCACCAGTCCCGTATCCCCAGGGGTGTGTGCAGGTGAGTGCTGCACCTGGGATGCTCGGGCAGCTTTGGAGCAGAGCTAGAGTTGGAAATCCTCCTTGGGGCGAGTGCAACAGCAGTCCGTTTTGCTGCTGGACCCTGGGACCAGGTCCAACTCCTTATTTAAGTGCAGCACAAACAGCTACCCAGAAAAGCCTCTTTTCCTTGCATAGCTCAGGGTGCTGGAGGCTCAGGCTGGGTGAGGAGGTTTCTGTCCTGTGGGCGAGGGGCTGGGTGCTGATGGGTGCTATGGGATCCCCACCAAGCACAAGCCGCTGCAGTGTTCACCTGTTTCAGCAAAATCTGGGCTGCCAGGAAGGTTAATTATATCTCTGTGTCTCTTCAGTTGTCAGATTTTGTAACTATTGTCTCAAGCTGATGGTTATATACCCAGCAATTAAATGGCAGCAAGGCTGTGCAGGCAGCAAGGGGGTCCAGCCTCGTTTCCCACCTACGTACACAACACGCTCTCAAAATGTTTCCTTAGTGGAGCTCAACAGAGTGGCAAATATTTCACTCAGAAATCTCACATTTGCCGACATGTTGCACCAACAAACATGGAATCAATCAGGGCCCTGATAATGAAGGCTTCTCATTAGCAGGCAGGCACAGATTTGTGCCTTCTTCCCTCCCAGGACACCCTCTGAGGCATCCATGGGCTGGTACAAACCAGGAGGAAAAGCCATTTGATCACCATCCTTTTCCTTAACTGCTGCTTCCTCTGATGCTCAGCAGCAGGTACAGATCTGTCTTAGCAGGTGCAGGAAGCAGGACATCAGTCAGGAAAGCTTTTCACCTACGGGCTTGTGCTGTTGGCCACTGCTAAAAGTCCCACAAGTGGATTTAGCAGCAAGAGAGTTTCACTGTGCGGTGTGATGCTTACAATGGATTCTCCTTGGGAGGTAGCGCTACCAAAAAAAGGGCTCCTGGATGACCCACTGCCCTGCATTTCAATTTTTTGCCCTTGAGTGATCACATTTGGACATTTTAAGATCCTTCCCTGTACCACAGTGTGTTTTGTGCAGGCTGGGGGCAGGCACCAAGATCCCAGGGCTGCACTCACCCTGCTTTTGCAGTGAGATTTCACATTGGCTTCACCATACACTGGCTCTGACCCATGCCAGGAGAGACACAGGCTGCTCTGTGATAGCCACCCCCTGTGTGATGCTGAAAGGGAATTTCCTTCATGTTGGTACGGCACAAGAGGCAGCAGGGGTTGTTTGGCCAACCAGCGATCAGTAGCATCAGGACTCTTGAGCAGGAACCCAAGTTTTCTAGAGGTGCAGGTGACCACAGGACCCCTATTTTCATGCTCTCAGCTGCTGAGCTCACCTTCTACAAGGACCAAGAGAGGAGGTCTGGTGTCTCAGGGGAGCCAGACCCTCCTGCTGAGGCCAAGGTTACCGAAAGCTCCGTGCCCACGGTTTCAGACTCCGGGAGCAGTGCCGGTACGGAGCTCACAGCGGTGGAGACCCAGGCAAGCTGGAAAGGAGGAAAACACAGAGAAGAGAGATTGTTCTCCTTCCCTCCAGCTGCTGGTGGCTGAAGCACTCAGGTGAGTCCTGTGAGAAAGGGGTGGGTTAGATGACATGTGAAGATCAAACAAGGAGCTCCAGGGCACCCAGCAAATGTCTATGTGTGCCACGTGGAGATACCTATAACACAGCTCTACAGTACACCCTCCCCTCCCTGAGCACAGGCAGGAGCATGGAAAATATTTGTTGGGAACATGGATATATGAAGGGATAGTCTGTACCTTCAAGAATTCAGCTAGAAATCATTGTCAGGATGATTTGTAGCCATCAGCAAATAACGTTACTTTCCTGAAAGCAGCAGCACCAGAGGGAAAACAAATTGAAGCAGGTGCAGGAGGAGTTAGGAAGCGCAAGAATTGCATTCCCAAGCCAAATGGACAGATTGAGACAGAGGAAAACAAATTGGGAAGGGAAATGGCTGCCTATCGCCCAGATTCTCCAGGAGCTGGGAGGAGGTGGAGGTTGGGTTCAGGCTGCATTTCGGGGCCTGGGAGCTGTATCTCTGTTTGAGCAGCTGTTAGTGCTCAGCCTGGGGTGAGGGTGGATTGTGGGGTTTGTTTCCATCCCTGGGTAGCCCAGGAGATCTGGGGAGCAGGATCCTACAGAAGCACCAGTCCCACCACCGCAATGACCATGAGGAGCCCGGCCAGGATGCAGATGCTGATGAAAACGATGTCGCTGGTGTCCTGGCTCTTGATTTCGTGGGTGTCCATCTCTCCCCCCTCCTGCTGCTGGGCATCCACCAGGTTTTCAGCCTGGCTGAGCCTGGATGGGTCAGGGCTGGCGATGAGGGTCACCGAGGCTTCCTTCCTCTTTGGTTCACACTGCACCTCGTACTGGTGGACATCCTCCTGGTCGCCTGCTGAAAAATCGATGTAGAGGGTGCTGATGATGACGGACGTGTTGTTGCGTTTCTGCAAGACAAGGGTCGTGGCTCGTCAGGGCTTTGTGCAGCTCATTTTTACAGGGGTTTGAAGGGCTGTTGGCCATGAATTAGACCAGCATCTACTGGGGAGATGGGAGAGGGACTGGGAATGCCTCTTTGCAGCTGGTACGACTAGCACAGGAAGTACCAGGAAGGTCCTTTAAAGGAAGGTTTGCCAACCACTCACCTGGGATTCGGTGCCACAGGTGTCAAACCTGGTGTGTATTTTAAAGTTCCCACCAACCACCTGGGCTGCGCAGGAAGGAGTCCCCAAATAAATCCTATTCCTCTCCAGCTGGGCCAGGGACTGCACGGGGATCTGGATGTGGAAGTCGGTCCGGGTGCAGCTGACGTTCATGGGAACAACTGTTGGGACAGGAAACAAAGTACATGCGAAGGTCCATTGGGAAAAGATTTCCCCTGGCTGCAGCAACTGCAGTAGCTCAGTGCAGAGCCACAGCTGTTCCAAAGCTCCTGTCCCCATCACACACCAAGCAGGGGACCGATGGTGCCAGGAGTAGTGGGGACATCAGCCTCATGGCTTTGCCATGCATCTCGCAGTACCTGGCCTTGCTGCCAGAGGACTCACGTGTTGAGATGAGTTTTCAGGGATAAAGGAGCTACACCCAAAATGCAGAAAGCATTATTATTTTATAAATCAATATTTTAGCCCTGTCCCATGCTGAGGTCACACACAACCTGCTCCCTTTCTGCGCTGGGGAGAGGTACCACTAGCAATCCTCTTGAGCCCCGTCCTCCTTCCCAGCTCCCTGAGTGACACCCAAGTGCCATCACAGGCAATGTCATCACACTGTCACTGCCACTGTCCTTGCCATAAGCAAGGAAGGATTTACCCTGTGAGAGCAGCTGCTCTCCATCGTTGCAAAGCCAGAAAAACATTTGAGTTGCTGCCCAGGATTAGACTGTGAGAGCTTTGCTGATGGCTCAGAGCTCCCCTGCACACTACACACCGCTGCAAAAGACACTCCTACAGTGACAAAATGGAGAAGACACAGCCCAGGGGGACCCCCACATCTGCCTGCCCCAGAGCAATGAAGCTGTGTGGCTGCCATGTGGTCCCCAGGGAAGGATGAGTTGGGTCCCCAGCCCCAGGGCATCCTCCCCAGGGATGGCCCAGCCCAGGTCCTGTCCCAAGCATCCTCAGCCCTCCACCTCCCCTAGAATGGTCTTTTTGCTGGGGAGCTGGCGAACAGTGCACGGAGGGAGCTGCTGTTGAGCTGCCTGTGATGCTGAGCAGAAGAGCGAGGCAGTGGGGAACCCAGTCCCTCTCCAGCACCCTCCCTCTGGCACCGTATTGGGACCGTCTGGATGCAGAAAGCATCCACACAGGGAAAGCAGCAGGGAGGAAAAATGCCCCCCTCTGTAAAGTTAATCCTTGCTCAGCTTGAACCAACCACTTGGGCAATATGAATTATTGAATTATTCCAGCTCCCTCTGAATTTTGGCCTTATGAAACTGGTAAGATGCAATAAAATCAATACAAAAAAATAGTGTCACTTTGCTCCACTTAGTGCATTATAAAACCATTAGAAGATTTACCAAATAACTGAAGTGCATTAGATCGAGAGGAGGAGGAGGAGAAAACGGATACTCTCTCCTGGCATGAAGGCTTTCATTCAAATGGCCCTAAATCACCCACGCCTGGCCCACGTCACACCCTTTTGTGAGTCCAAAAGGAAAAACATCCTCGTGGATGAAGAGCTGTGGATGTGGATGTGGAGGCTGGGGGGTCCCCTTGCCACCCAGGGCTCCCAAGGAAGCTGGCAGCAGGGAGAGGCCGGTGCTACTGGGGGATGCAGGAGCCTCATGATGCCGGGAGATGTCACGTCCCTCTCTGTGAAGGGGCTTCCCTCACTCTTCAGCTCACATCCCATCTATCTGCCTGCAAGCTCGTCCGTTGGGAATGGGGTTTCTCCATGACCAGAAACAGTGAGGCCAAGATTTCTCTCTGCACACTGCTGTAAAACAGTGAGAAATAGGCAGGACAGGGACAGGGGCAGACCTGCTGTGCACGCTGAAGCCCTACTAGATATCTGGTGCAATCTCTCTCCCTCCAGAGGCTGCAGAGGCTGTGGTAGGTTTATCCTGGCCGGCAGCCAAACACCAAACAGCCGCTTGCTCACCCTCTCCCAATGGGATGGGGGAGAGAACCAGAAGGGTAGAAGTGAGAAAACTTGTGGGTCGAGATAAAAACAATTTAATAATTGAAATAAAATAATGATTGCAATAATAATGACAATAACAGTAATAACAGACTCTCCAAATGAGTGATGGCCAGTGCAATTGCTCACCACCCACCGACTGATGCCCAGCCTGTCCCCAGATCCTGGAGCAGAGACAGTCCTGAAACTGAAACTGCAATCCCAGAAGAGTGAGCCCAAACAATCCAAGAGAATCCCTGGGCTTTCCGTTCAACCCTCATTAATACACTGAACATGACATGATATTAATATGGAATATCCCATTGGCAGAGCCAAATGTCAATTTGAATTACTAACTGTAATATTCCGCCACTCAGAGTTTGTCCTTGCAGACTAGTACTGTACTACACAGGGAAGTTGGAAAGTCCTTCGACTTCCAGCAACAATTGAAAACATTAATAAGTTATCAACGTTCTTCTCATAACAAATCCCACAGTGAAACCAAAACACAGCACTGAGAAAACTAGCTCTGCCCTAGCGAAACCAGGAAGAGGTTCAGGACAAATCCCCATCCCACCTCTTCCTCCTAGAGCTGCATACCCCAAATCCCTTGTGCTACACTGGAAATGAAGGATTTTTCTGCTGAGGGATAAAAGCTCACAAACCCAGGGCCAGCCACCCCCAGCTCCTGTTCCCCTGTTCCAGCAGCCCTGCTCCAGCTCCAGCCTGCTGGCAAGGCTGTCCCTGCCTGAGTCATCCCTGACACACGGGTCAGCTCAGATGTAATTATCTTGAAATACAATGAACACCATAAATTTGCTGGCTTTTGAGGTGCAAAGGTTGGCAAATAGGTGAGGAAGGTTACACACCGCTCCTCCCACCAGCTGGGGATGCACCGGCTGGGACACGGGGCACTTGGCGGTGAGGAGGTGCCGGGTAGGGCTGGCTGGGTGGATTTGATAAGCACCATACCCCGGGGGTCCTGCCCCTCTGGTGCTGCTGCCAGTGGAGGAGAGGACATGGTTTATGTCTGTCTGCTCTGCTGGTGGGGTCAGACCATCCTGGGGAGCAGGGAACAGGGCTGTGATGCTTGAGCTGGTCACCTCCCCTGGGACTTTGGTCCCCTAGAAACCTCCTGGGTTTTCTCTCCTTCACACCCTGAGAGAGGAGCAGAAGCACAGCAGTGGTAGAGACGTGGGGAGAAGCTGGAAACCATCTCCTGGATACTAAACATGATGTGGAGCATGCGTAGCTCACTCTGGGAGAGCTGGAGCTCACCCACCACTTCTGATCCACCCCATCCCTGATGAGCCACGTGCTCTGCTCCTGCAGAGAGGTATCTTCACTGCACAGTCACTCCAGAAATTACATGGTCTCAGGCACATCATGATGGAAATAAAGCATTGAGGAGCACCCAACTGAGACCTTACCTCCAACGTAGGCGATGGAGAAGCCTCTCTTGGCCATGTTGCGGTCAGTGTGGAGGACCAGCAGCAGCTGGTTGCTGTGGGAGGTGATGGGCGCTGGGCTCTCCCGCCCACACCACCGCCCCAGCAGGGACCTGTTCTCAGTGCCACCATCGAAGGCAGACAGGTGGTCGTAGTCACAGCCACCCGTCAGGCTGCTCCGGCCCTCCAGCTCCATGTCCAAGAAGAAGACCTTGACCCGATAGCCCATGGGCAGCTGGATGCTCCACTGGCAGTTGAGGTTGTTGGGGTAGAAGTTGGGGTATCGAGGGCTGGAGAGATTCCCTTTGATGGTGGTGAACACCTCCTGGCACTCACCTGCTCAGGGAAAAAGGGGAAAGGAAAGAATCAAAGCAAACCTGAAGCCCCCTGTGTGTGGGTGAGCTGGGGGCTGAGCTGGTGGCTGGTGGCTTGTTTTATTATTAAAGGTGTGCTTTGTCCTCCACCTCACTGTGCCCCAGCCTCGCGACTGGCCAACGGACACCCATCGGTTTTGGGGGATGGCAATGCCCAATGTGGCCGAAGTCTTACAAGGGCTGACAGGGAAAACTCATATCTCCAGGGAATGGCGTGAGCAAGGTAGAAAGGCTCTTGCTCAAGAGAAAGACAACCCAGGGCCTGGGATAGCCACAACGATGCCATTTGCATTGGGTGGTGCTTTTTGCTTCACACCACCATCTCATGAGCTCTCCCCAAAGGGTTCCCCTCCGTTATCATCCCCTCTTGCTGCCCTGGGAAGGAGAGCATCACCACTGCCACCTTGGGGACCTGTCCCCACATCCTTCCCACCACCCCACCACCCCAA